GGGGGGGTTGAGAGTTTGTATGGAAATTCGTGGTTTTTGAACCTTGAACAATACACTATGACAAAAAGAACTTTCTTATTTGGAATAGGAGTGGGAGTGGGAATGGGAGTATGATGATGTAAGGTGAGAGTGTTGCGGCAAAGTAGTACTTACAACATAGATTGGCTGCACTATAAATGCGCAATTATATAAATTAATAAACAGCCTATATAAATAAAAATTCTACCCCAAGTCACTATTCCAAGCGAACGAAGTCGCGGGCACAGCTAGTATAAAATATAATATTAAAAAAATCCTAAATTTCTTGTACTTGTTTTTCTGTATTTTATGGTAGTATACATTTAAATAAAAACACGTTTACCGATTTAAAACGTAAATTTAAGTTGAGTTAATTTTTATCATTTATTTAAACTGCGTTACGACGTTACGAATGCTCTGCAGCAGACGTGGTCCCCCCGTGACAACGCTAAAAAGTGATTGATTGACATTGTACAAAGTATCAAATATTTTAGCAAGGTGTTGCAAGCGAATGGACACACCCAATGCCCAAAATGTTTGTTTGTCCTATATCTATGAAACCTTATCGAAAGCAAATATTTACTCACTCAAGCAAATCAATGTACTAGGACTTCAAATTTAACCGGGATCCGTTCGTATTTTATTTATATAACTCAAATAAGTTGATGCTAACTCTTTATTCCTTTCTAATGAGTTTGACCACTGGGAGACAATTTTGAATTATTTTTTTTTGTGCAAAAAATGTCATTAATCTGTTAGGGTTATGGATAGTTTACTATTGAATTTATGTTATTAGTAGTTAAGCGTACGGCAGAAGGTCGTAGTAGATTATAAAGTAATAATGTATTCTTTTTAACGGTAAAAGTTTCACGTTGTAAAAAGTATTTAACACATAATGATTTTAATTTTTCTGTTTGTTTGTATAGTAGGTATATATAAACCGCATTAATTTTAATAAAACAAGTAATAATTTGTCAAAAATCAAAATGCTTCTGTTTTATACAAAGCAGCCGGCCTAAACTAGTCAAAAGTATCGCTGATAGCATATTGCATTTTCGTCGTCGCTATGTCTAGATCAGAATAAGGTCAGTAAAGTTGATAAGGCGTTCAAATATTTGTAGCAAACCAAATGGAATGCTTGCAATACTGATAACGGCGTGTAATAAGTAGGTGTGTTTTTGATAAGAACATCACGCGTTTTTTGGGAACATTCCAAACAAAAATAGAAACGAGATTTTATTGCACGACGAACTAAAGCATTACCACCTTCATTTCTAAAGCAAGAAGCCGTATTTGTTTGTGGCTAATAACCAACGGATCGTGGGTTCGAACTCCAGCGAGGTCTACATCTTTCTAAAAATTTATAATTTTTCTGAAACATCCAACATGTTTCAGACAATTTTTAACTTAGTCTAGACATCTGAATATTAAAAGGGTGCTAGGAATAACCTAATTCTGTCTGGTTCAGATGGAAAAGCCGTCAAATTTGACCGCGTTTCGTCAGTCAGTGGATCTCCATATCCATATCCAATTCATAGGGCGACAGCTCATCTTGATTACGTGTTATTCGGCTGGGCTCTTTCACCTTCCATCGAGTGAACAACATGATTGTCTGTCCTCTATCATAAAATAGTTTGAAATGCAAAAATTGTTACAAATTTTCATATCGTTGCTTTGACAGTTAATTAGTTCACGTAATTATTATTTTTACTGTTTATTTATGAAACGCAAACATAATGAACAACTAAAAAAAGCACATACATTTTTAACATGGAAATATGTATTTATGAAAGAAAAAAATATATACTTTATTACTTTTGTTTATATTTATCGAATTTGTATATTGAACAATCATAGCTTCATATTTAAGACGTTAGCTGTAAAAAAGTACGTACCTACGTCTTATAAAAATTAATTATTATATTATAGGACAAGTTGAATGAACCGAATACTTCAAGCAGAGTATCTATCATTATTCGAAAATGACGTGATCATTACAAATACGATATTTATTCTACGAGCAAGTCCAGATTGTGAGATGGAGTGCTTTCGAAGATGCAACAAAAAATTACACAGTCCATAGAACGTAATAATTTTAGGGGGGAAAGTTTTTGTACTGTCTCTGTGTGGCGTCAGAATGACGATAAATGGCAATTATGGTTTTAAAGGCTATCAGTAGTTATAATAAGTTTATTATAGTTTAAACACCAAAAACTTTTTGTTTACTTCACATTTTCAGAAAAATAACTAAATAAATTATTATGAAATTGTTATTTTTTACCAAAAGTATGTTACTTTACTTATATTTCTTCTATTTCTGTGTCATAATTACAGTAAAATGTTATGTGTCTGTTATGTTCCTGCTTGACCCACTGTATATTTTTACGCTGTGGTAATATTTTGGTCTTAGATGACGTAACGGGTCATCGAACTCCGACACCATGCTTTAAGCTGTCATGGACCATGACTCGAATTTCAATGTTAAGTCTTGCTTAGGTTATAATTGTTTAAGTGAATTTCTATTGCGTATACAATATAGATCTTAGTCATTATTAAGATTAAAAAGTTTAAAGTATTCCTTAGAAAGGTGTAGACGTAGATATTATAATGAGTACTATTTCGATCTAGACACAACAATGTGTCTGTACTTCAGTACGCGTGTGTCTCATATTAAACGAGTACTTATTCTTTAATGTATTCTTATGGGTGGGTGTCTGGTAAATGTAAAGAGTGAAACTGCAAAAAATTGCTTCAAGTATCCTATTTAATAGGAGTGTGTAAAATCTGTCATTTTTACTTACTACATTAGTATTAAATTTGATTATAATTAAACCTAAAAAAAAAAAAAAACCTAGGCTTTCTCTCCCATCTTTTAAAAGTGTAAATCTCTCTATTTATTTGAAATGTATTTAGTCCATTTGTTTAAATTAGTAAACATGTACCCTTTTTAGATCTGTATGTTTTTATTTCTTTTATTTATTATATATTGTTTTCACTAAATTTATCGCCCACTTGTTCGCGTTTCACATTTCATTTTCTCAATTTCTCTTCTTAATTTTAGGTAGCCTGCAAGAGTTCTAGCATATAAGTTTATGTGTATCATTATTTATTTTTTTCATAAATCATTAAATATCCTAGATTTTCATAAATCAGAAGCAAGCTGTAAATCAATCAGCATGACAACAGGATGTAGAATTCCCTTACCCTCGTCAGATCTAGATACCCTTGATTGGAAAACGATCTCGACTATCTATAAAGGTTTTTTGTCATAAAAAATGCAACGGTTACGATATCCGTATTTTTAAGAAAAAAATACACAGCTTATATCTCTTTTCTTAGCATTGATATATCGAGGTACTTTATTACAGACATTAAAAAATCTGCTTTTACGGAGCTGTGAGGAACAAAACTTTGGTGTGACTTAAATACACTTGTTTAAATAGTGCAAGAGTTATGTTGAGTCAAGGTTTATGCCTCTGTCTTGGGGCTTTAAGAGCAGTGCTGAGAATTCTAAAATATTTACTTAATATAAATAGCACCTAAATATAAATAGTCAAAGCTTACATCGTTTTGATAAAAAAAAACGATAAACTATATTTAATGTCGGTAAAACAGATACAATATACACAGTCTTGGAGTGTATTATTCCTGGTTGGATAAATAAATATATAACGTTAATTCACTGAAAGGCAAGTTAGGTCCAAATATACTTTTTAAAACAATCATTGCTTGGTATTAAACGTTAACAATTTCAAGTCACGTTCAATGATACGCATCAGTTATGACCACTGTCTGTACAAAGATGCATTGAACCTGATTGATGATTGTACTAAAACCTGACTTTGCCCAAACCCTCGGGCGGGCCCCCCAAAAGGCCCCCTTTTTTTGGGGGGGGTTTTTTTTTTCCCCCCCCCCCCCCCCCCCCCCCCCCCCCCCTTTTGCAAATAGGGAAACCTCTACAACCTGGGGCTATTACCATCTTGTAGAACTAAAACTTTAAAAGTTCTAAAAATAGTAATATAGCTTTAGCGTAGCTTAAAAGCGGTTAAACTGATTTCTATAAACGTAATGCTAGGCAAGACGTTTAGTTACCATTTAATTACACAGGCTACAGAACTTACCAATTTAAGTAATTTTGGAATACTGTTAGTAAAATGCGAGTAACGCCGCGGGGTTAGTCGTTATTATAATCGATAGTCGTTAAACGATTTAAAGACTTAAGCAGGTGCCTTGCAATTTCGTAACCTATATTTTGATTAACTTGAATGCGAACCGGTTTTCACAATCGTATGATTCGCCATTATTTATCCGACATAGTTGTAATGTAATTTTTCTTGTTTCTGATTATAATCTATACATTTACCACCTACCCAAATCTAAATAAAATAAATCAAATTCTCTTTTCGAAAGTTTACATACATACATAAGTGTTGTATAAACACTGTGTATCTACAGGAAATATTAGTCTGTGTGTTAAATAGACCGTGGAACCAATTTTGAAGACCACAGATATCTGATGTTTTAAACTGTAACGCACGTTCAATTGTACGAGTCGTGATTTTAAATACAGATAATCATTGGTGAGCTAGTAAATATCTCATTTTAAAAACATAATGAACAAAAAATATACCTCTGCCATGAACTGAAAACAGCAATATTTAATTGCTTGCTACAAAGATTAATGCATGCTATATTTCATCTACTGAGCTTAATTCTAAAAAAAGCAGTACTCGTTACATACATGCAATATGTTTTATAATTCGCACATATGTTGAAATAAGGAAATAACCTAAAAATACTTCACTTCACTTCGGTGTTTTATAAGCTATGGAATGTCACCTGTCAAGCTAATTGTTCTTTTAATATGATATTTAAGACAATTAGGAACATAGTAGGATCACACCGACCTGTGTAGTTAAGTATTCTTAGTTAAAATGGTCGTTTATAATATAGCTTGTTTGTATGTTCTATGCATAACTAACCTGTCATTTGTAGCTGTCTTCTTGACGCCGGAGTTCTCGGCGTACGTGGAGTTCTAGCTGCCCTGGGCGTCCGAGGAGTACGCGGCGTCCGAGGCGAGCTCCCAGCGCTCCTCCTAGACGGGGAGCCCAGCACCCTATCTGTATTCTCAACACAGGATAACGCCTCTACAGCTGTCCTTGGACTGTTCTCTTTCCCTCCACTGAACTTCACTGGCGAGTCCAACTTACTAGGCTTATAAGCGCACTCCGTTTCAACGTCAAAGTTAAACCGCCGTATAAAACGCTTTCTGTCCCTCGCGTACTGTTCCGCCATCAATCGCCTCGTCTCATCCCGATCGGGGACTCCAAAGAGACACTTGCAGCTACCACGTCTCCGCCTGGGCGACCTCATCACAGCTGATATCTCGAAACGCCGTTGCTTCGGTGTACGTCCGCCGGCCGCCATTTCGTGTCAGGTGATCCGACTGGTTCACAGGAACATCTGACTAATAATCTCCCGAGAGAAAACAGCTGTCAGGTACGCGGGGGCGATCGCACCTGGCACTCAAACCGCGCCAATTCTAACCTAGAACGTGAAACGTGCGCGCTTATTCGTCGCCGGTGAACGACTGACGCTCGGTTTCCCGCGCATCGCCGCGTGCGCAGTGCGATTTCGGCAGTCACTTGGCGCGCAAAACGCTCGAACAATAGTCCCAAGGACGCTTTTTATAAGTCTCGGGATACAGGTGTTTGAAAGGGGCGGTAATAATAGCTAGTGAGTTACATGTGTCTTTGTTATCGAGGTGATAACGTAATTTACTAATTTCGGCCCGTTCCAGAGACAATTGGAAACGCTTATCTAGGTTATTGACATTGAAAGAAATGAAATCAGTTGTAATTAATAGGGTTGTGGCTCCACGATAAGGTATTCGGCTCGAAATAGCTATTTGGGACATTGGAATTTGGTTCTGCGTTATTATTAATTAGTAGATATGGAACTTTGCTTAATTTTAACTTAATTACAATTAAGTAGGTATTTATTGTTTAAAGATTGAGTATAATGGTAGACGAAAACCAAGAAATGATAACTAGGTATTATATATTAATATGTAGGTTAATAATTACATGTGCGTAATAAATAAATACCAATTTTTATGACATAGGACGACATTCTAGTATGAGGTCTTCCACTTCACTCGATGGATGATGAAATACCTATCGCAGCTATACCTATAACATTCAAACAAGATGTGCAGTCCACTATTTTGGCATTAGACATTCAAAAATTCGCAGACTGAAGCGGAAGCACGATTAAACTCACGACTTTTTATCTGTGGATTGAAATGATTGATTCTTGATCCAGCCGGAATTCGCATATTCCTACCTATTTAGTATCAATCCAAAACTTCCAGACGATGTCTAAGATTAAAAAAAATATTTTTAACTTAATATAGTTTGTTATACGTATCTAACGGTCTTTAAGCAATTATATTTAATAATAAAAGTATTTTTAGGACTATCTATATCCAACTTCCGTTTAAAATTCTGTGGTCATTTATCTACTACTTCATAACATGTGGTCGCCAATTACATGCAATAATAAACAACTTGAACCCTAAAAGTCTCAGTTTTACAAGCTATTGTAGTGCCCTGTAAAGTTTTAAGACTATACACTTTAGAAGCACTAAAAACTTTACTCGTTTGAAAAATACGCGAGAAAAAATAGTTAAGCGTTTCCTTTATTTTTAGCTTGGGTAATGATTGTTTAAAGATATTTACATATTTATAATTTAGCAGACAACATTGGGTTTTCTTGATGATATACCCAAACTTATCACCTATAATGAGATTTTCTGTCAATATTACGGATATTTTTAGTAGAAAAATGCAATAATGCCTTTAATGAAAATTTTAGACAATGTTATTCAAACACAGGACCTCTCGCGCATTAAGTGATAATGTAGGTATTGAATATTCACTTTCTTGATAGAGACCAATCTCGATTAAGGGTATATTTATCTAGAGTTAAATTTATCTATAATGTGTGATCAACTGAAGATAAATATGCCATTTTACACCAAAGAAAACCTTTAATATTTTTTTCTTAGACTTTCCCATACGCTTTGAGTGTTACTGTAATTACACTTTGCTGAATCAGAGGCCTTTAATTGAAATTAAACAAATTCAAGTAGTCAATTTGGTGTGGACGAAATGTTTGAACGCACTTAACATCCGGCGCCGAAGTTAAAGTACACGCAGTAACTTCCGGTTCTCACGGAAGCTGACATGAAGCCGTTTGAAATTGGAAAAAGATTTTTATTTAATGAGAAGTGTATGAGAAGGTATGTTATAGGGGGGATAGACTTAAATACTGTCTGTAGCTTACGCGAGTAGTAGAGATTCAAATAAAACACTTTAACGGTTTATAACTCGATATATTTTAGTTAAATTTGTTTGAAAATTATTTTTAACTCCGGCCCGACGTTTGGGATGCTATGCAGCAGCCGTGGTCACGGGTCTCCCAGTTAGCTTCCCCATCCCCGTTTGACTAAAATATATCGCGTTTTAAACCGTTCAAGTATTTATTTAAATAGGATAAACTTTTTATTCACAGCTTTGAACTGACAAAAACATCACTTTTGAAACATATGTTATTGTATATAAATCTTAATGTCTTTCCTATTTTAATATCTTTAATGTACGCATGTATCAATAAGTTGAAAAAAGTGTGGGACTCGGTAGCTCAATTGGTTAGAGCAACTAACTAATACGGAACGCTGAAGATGCAGGTTCAAGTCCTGCCCGAGTCGAAAGTTTTTTCGACTCGGGCAGGGCAGGACTTCGTTTTTTTAATCTTCAATGTTGCAATAGATAATTGAGAAATGAATAAACAAGCATGTATGTTTTATCCGTTATGTAATTTTTATGTACAAAATAATTAATTATAATGTAATATAAGTTAGTAAACATTTTTTTCGGTTATGATTTTTTTTACCTTTATCACACAGGGTGGTAGGTCAATCCTTAGGTGGTAATTTGAGTCAACGTGCAAAACTAACACTAACTGGCGCAGCAAATATTAGCGCCCAGCCTAAATATACGGAAAACTTAGCTCATAAGTGGTAGCTTACACTATGACGTAATCACAACGGTCATTGTACGGTCGGAATAAAGAAAAATGTGTTTAATGTCCGCAGTCAAGATAGCATAATTAATTATAAAAAAAGTTCTTAGTTTGTTTTTTTATCTGGATCTAGAACGTTATTTTATAATTTACCTTAACAAATTACAAAAATGTATTTCTTATTGAGCTCTGTAATGTTGTAGCTTTTATATGGTAACCGTACTTACATCGTTTTTTAACTTACTCTTGTTTAGTAATTAACATCTTTTATGCTGGTTTGCTTGTAATGCTACTTATTTCTAACACATTTGATAAGTAAAGAAATAAGTTACTTAAAATCATAAATCCTAGTTTACATTTAAGTTAAACTACATTTTAACGGCTCCAATGTTCACGGCTGCTGTCTAGCATACGAAACGTCTATTCGTTATAATAAATTTAAAAAAAAATAGTTTCGCGTTTTAAACCGTTATAATTGTTTTATCTAAATGTTTGAGATTATTTACATCTCTTTCAAGCTCCAGAGCCTTAAAAATGTGATTTTAACGCGGGGGATTATACGAATACTTTTTTTTTAACATCGCGAGGCGTAATAACACAACTAATAATATTCGTTTGTAACTAAATAAAAACGCGTGCGCAGCCCAACCTGTCATTTCAATTGTTAGGGCGAATGTCACAAATTAATAAGCTCATGCACAGTACCAAATTGCTATTTATTTGGATTTTTGATTGATTACATACAGTAATGACGTTGTAATTTCACGGTTTTGACCCGGGGGATTGGTTCGCGTTTTTCGTTTATTAATTTCCGATTGGAATTGGGGTGTTATTGTTTTGTCGCGAAATTAATAACACGTGCACCGTTATTACTGGTACTAGTAATTTGCTGTATTTCCTATCATTATTGTTAGGAACGCTGTATTATTGATACCCCTATTAGCTTTTTACATGTTTTGGTATACCGCAGATAATTATTTGCCTTATAATTTAACAATCAGTGTATTTAATGGTTAAATAAAACACTTTAACAGTTTAAAACGCGATATATATTAGTTAAACTTATTTGAAAAGTATTGTACCCGTTAAAATGTTTTATTTAAATTTGTACTACTCGCGTATGTATTTAATGTTAAAGTACACATTTAAATAAAAGGCTTTAACGGTTTAAAACGCGATATATATTAGTTAAACTTATTTGAAAAGTATTGTAACCGTTAAAGTGTTTTATTTAAATGTGTACCACTCGCGTAAACCACAGACAGTATGTACATATTTAATGTTTCTTTCCCTATTTTTCAATTTTTTCTGTTTTTTGAAACACCCCAGCCATATTACATCTAAGCAAGATGTCCTATTTTGGCTTTGGATATTCGAAACAGACGGAAACCGAAACGCGATTAAACTCAACGACTGTTCATTAGTGGACGGTGGTTCGTGACCCAGACGGAATTTCAAAATTCCTTCCACCCATTTAATATCCAGATTTCCAGATGACGTCCTACATGTTTGGAAAAAGGATATTTAGCAAAATGTTGGATCCGGTGGGGATCGAACCGTTGATTATCATACATTGTTACCATAACATCAACATACATTTATTTTTAACGTCTTGAAACATCTTTGGGAATTGTTAGTATATTCCTTCTGCTTAGGATGTATTTAAATGTAATTATTTCTTTGAAAGGTCCGCTGGATATATTGGCAAAGCAATAAACCTCTCAAGATGCGCACATTACCGCTTTCATCTAGTGAAGTGAGGTCGTAAAAATGGCGGAAACGACACAAAACGCACTTACACTGTGCCTTCCGGTACAGTCGAGAACTAAAGTTTAACGAACACCTGTCGTAAGATGAAACATACATTTAAGTTTATTTTCATATACTTATATGTTGTGTTTTCAAGTAGAAAGTGGTTAATAACATCAATTTTTATATTAAGTTATTGTGTTCGTAGATTTCATGTGCCTTTTGTAAGTACAGTAGAATATTTTACAATTAGTTTAAGTATTTAGCGTTCGAGATTAAGAAATCTTTACATGTCTTATGAACCACTATAGCACTTACGTACGACTCTTTTTTTTCATTAGTACCAAGCCGTAACCTGTAGATATAGCCTTCATACAGCCTTCTATAGAGTCTATTTTACTAGGTTTATCTAATATGTAAGAGAGAGAATTATTTTAAACTACGGCCTGTCGTTTCGGACGCATTGCAGCAGCCGTGGTCACGGGGAGACTGTAATATGTGTTTAGACGGGCTCGTTCGTGCAATGGTACCAATGTATATAATAATCAACGGGTGTGGGTTCGATCCTCGCCGACTCCAACAATTTTCTAATT